TGAATGGATGCAGCAGAGCCTGCACTGGGACCTGCTATGCCTACTTTACGAGTCGCTCAGTGATCTACTCCGGGATGATGGTGAGATGCCAACTGTGTGAAATACCTGGAAAAGACCAGGAGCTCACTGCAATGGCCTCAGCGAGGACGAAAGGGAAGATACTGTCCCCCAGTGCCCCGCGGCCTCCTCCCCTCCCTCCCCTCTCTAGAGCCCGCCACTGGGCCGGACCCTGCCTCACTTCAGGGTCTCCACACTGGTCCCTCTGCCCTGCGAGTCCTTCCACCACACATCCAAACATTTCTCCTTCCTCTGCCTCAGGGGTTTGCTCGAGTGTCGCCGTCCACAAGAGGCCTTTCTTGATTGGCCTCTCTCTCACCGCTTTTTCTCTTCAGCACTCCCCATTTGAGGACCCAAGCTCCCCGGAAGCAGGACTGTGTCTCTTCTGTTCCCTTCATTCCCAGCCCTGAGAACGCTGGCCAGCCCACGCACGCACGCACACACTAGGTACTCACGCACATCCCCATCCCTACTGCGTGCAGATGAAGCACCGGGGTCAAGAGCACAGACACGGACCAGGCTGCCGACCCGCTTCCAGTCTCCAACAATCAACTCTGTGACGTGGGGCAAGACACGTGGTCTTTACAACCTCAACTTCCTCACGAAGAACGCGGATACTCGTGGTATCCGTGCCACACGAGCTGTGAGAATTAAATGAGATCGACACTTGAGAGAGTGCAGCACACCCTCGGCACTGCAGACACGTTAGCTACTGTCAGTATTTCTGTGGGAGTAACCCTGAGACAGTCTTTAAAGTGTCTTTTTTTCCTGAGGGTTTTGCTATCAGGCATGTACATTCGCCAAGAGACACAGAGAGATAGAGAGCCAGAAAGTGAGAAATTACTCCCTCATTCTCCTCTCAGGGCATGCATGCACAAGCATCTGGCATGAGTTTCAAGCCACCTGCTCCAGGACTTGAACCAGTTAACCATGTGAGAGTCCAGCAATGTAACCATTATGCCATCTGCTTGTCCTTAAAACGTATTTTAATGACATACTAATATGTATTAGCAACACATTCTGGCTACCTTTTAGAAGAACTTATTAGGTGATAATTTTTTTAAATAATTTCATGTGAGCATATAACGTATGTATGTGAAAAACTTCCCATAATTTTGTTTACTACCTCTCTCAAATACTCGCAAAGGAAAGGCTAAAAGGGAGCAGGCCGTGGCATAGTAGTTATGGCAGTTGAATTACACATGGGCAACTACACGGTTCAATTCTCAAAACCAGCAGCTTCAAAAACACGCCAGGCACATGTTTGCCCAAACTCTCAAGAACAGAATGGGGAACCAGCAGTTAGCGTAATGGCTATGTCGCTGGACTCCCACGTAGTCGACTGCGGTTCGTGTCCCGGACCCGGTGGCTTAGAACTCACGCCGGGCGCGTGTGCGTGTGTGCCCAAGATCCCGAGAGGAGAATGGAGGAGAAGGGATTGCAGCGTGACCATCCCCCCTGGGGGGTGATTTCTCGCTTTCTGTCTCTATGTCTCTCTCTGTCTGTCTGGCGAGCGCACGCGCCCTACAGTGAAAATCTCTCAAAAAAAAAAAAAGAACAGAATGGAGGACAAGGGACTGTCGGCTCACCATTCCCCCTGCTGGCTGCTTTCTCATTCTCTCTCTCTCTGTTGAGTGCATATGTCCTATAGTAAAAAATACTTTTAAAAAGGGCTAAAATGATGTAAAAGTAATTTGAAAATTATTTCAATCCACTTTAACACTAAATATATGAACGCATCGGTTACAGAAACCAAGAAAGAAAGAACTTAGCCAGGAAGCAGAAAGCTCTCTAACGATGGGCAAGTCATCACGAGTTTCAATGAGCTACCGTCTTGAAAGGAATTTACTTTATTAACCTACAATAAACTGGATTAAAGCAGAGGTTTGCCTTTTTGAAATGTGATTTCTCTTTCTCTAGGAAAGAAAAGTACAATCTGCCTCTTCAATGCGGCCTCTCTTCACAGGACTGGCCCCAGAACGTTCTTTGCTCCAGGGCCTTTTCCACACCCCTCCCATAACCGCTGTGCTACTGTGTGGTTGTTGCGTAAACTCGCATTTCCCTCTTAGGTAGGTTAAAGCATCAACAGATCCTTGGTAGTCCTTTTTTACTTTAATTTTCCCCCATAGGGTGTATATGCTCACCAGAGACAAGAGGAGCAAAGTGAGAAATCGCCCCCTAGGAGAGACGGTCACACCACAGTCCCTTGTCCTCCTCTATTCTCTCAGGACTCGGGGCATGCACACACATGCACCAGGTGTGATTTTTCAAGCCACTGGGTCTGGGACTCAAACCGTGGTCGGCCTTGTGGGAGGCCAGCACCTTAAACACTATGCCACCTCTGGCCCCCGGTAGGCCTTCCGCAATCCCACCTGGTCACTGCGAGGGTGAGTGCATGTGTGCACGGAGGAACTGGCCCTCCACAACCTGGTAAGCACTTGTGTAGCCTAGACAGGACAGGCAGTCCCGGAAGAGGCCCGAATTGATTACCAAGGCTCTCCTGAGCAGTGACTTACTGAGCAGCATTGTTTTCCTTTCTTAAAAAAAAAAAAGTATGATTTATTTTCAGCCCATCATTGCAGCATCGTTACTTTTCAATAGCCATTTAAAATTATTTGCATCACAGTAAATTAACAGGGCGTTAGGCCAAGGGTCTAAAAGGACAAGTACCAGTTTCTGAACCATCCAGCTGAATACAGGAATGCTGACATTCCCAAACTCGTGGTTATACGGAGTGATTCTTGACACCAACCTCCTGAGGGGTCCGAGCAGACTCCAGCCAGAGCCCGTCTGCCAGGATGAACCCCACTTCCTGCCTGCACAACCTCGGGTACGCCATTTAACTTCTCGCTGGCAGTTTCCTCATCTCTAAAAGAAGACAGGCCTTCCCAGGTTTTTGTGAGGACTAAATGAATTCATAAGCAAAATGATCAAAACAGCCTGGGCCACGTGTGCATTTCACAGTGTGACGTGCCGTCATTGGCATCACAATTATTATTAGGAATAATATTCATCACAAGCTCATCTTAATTAATTGAGTGTATTAAAAAAAAATAGGCATCCCAAATCAGCAAGGGTGTTTTGGATTTGTCTGTTATAACACCCTATCTGGTTTCTTAAACATACCACATTTAGACAAGTAAAAGGGCAAAGCGCCTTTGGGTTTAATAACAATCCTCATGCTCATTTTAAAGCTTCAAGAAAGTGGTTATTTTGGGACCAGCAGTTGGCATAATGGTTGTGTCGCTGGACTCCCATGTAGTCGACCGCGGTTCGTGCCCTGGACCAGGTGGCTTAAACTCATGCCGGGCACGTGTGCATGTGTGCCCAAGATCTCGAGAGAATGGAGGAGAAGGGACTGCGGCGTGGCCATCCCCCCTGGGGGGTGATTTCCCGCTTTCTGTCTGTCTCTCTCTCTCTCTCTCTCTCTCTCTCTCTCTCTGTCTGGCAAGCGCACGCACCCTATAGCAAAAATCTCTCCAAAAAAAAAAAAAAGTGGTTATTTCAAGTCTGGGTCTGGTTTTCTTCTTCGTTTTCTGAAAGGATTTATAGAAAATAAATGATTTACCCTGCCCTGGCTGGAACACCCCGGCTGCTTACCTTTCAGGGGAGATGCTTTGTGTGAGTACAGGGGACAGCCATGTGGTTTCAATTTCTATGCACAAACGCCTCATTGTGGGCTGAGTGGCAACAGACTCTCAATGTTCTCAGGGCACTGTGTTCTTGCTCCTTGGGTTTTCCATTCTACTTTTACTCTGTGGTGATTAAGTTTCCCGTCCCCTGCGACAAGCACCTCTCTGTGTGTTCTGAGTACCCATGCAAGTTAGCTGCTATCGATATTTTAAAAAACATAATATGGTACATTTTTACAAAACCCTTTCTTCCATTCATATACCTCTTCCTGGGTTGATTCCCCCAAAACTGCCTGACCTTGACACTAGGCCTAAGTCTAAATAAACAACCCTTAAACAACCTGTCTGTACAGGCTTCTCACACTAACTTCCCTAACAGGATAGGAAAACAAAACCTGAAAATATTCGATTGTAGTGAAGTAAAAAAAAAAAAAATCTTCTGGGACGTGGTTGGTTTTGCTAGTTTCCATAAAATGTTCTCACTCTAAAGGCACTTTCCCCCCCAGACCATTCGATAGTAGTCTCCATTTTTATAGACGAACTCACTTCCAAAGCTATCCAGCTCGTCTTTCATGTGCTCAAGGCTGTACCTGCGAGAACAGGGGGTGTTCCCTGTGGTGTGACTGGAATAGCTGGCAGGCTTTTTGTCCTAGTTTCTGTGCAACAGGACTGATTTTTCCATTTCCTGCTTTGATTTGCAACACAAAGGTATCTGTACCTTGGCCAGATTTTGCTAAGACGCTTAACAGCTACCCTTGAAGCTCTCAGACTTCATCGGCCAAATGTGACTTCAAAACCACAGATCTAAAATACCAGCCAGCATAAATAAAATTTTATATGAGCAATGTTGAACTTTTTAGTCATCCTCACACCCTGCAAATTTACAATACATCTTTCAATAAAATCCAAAGAAAAAAATGAATCTCTTCCTTTGGCGTGGGAGTGCATTATATTGAATCTACCACACAATGCTTAAGAATTAACTAACCATTTGCAAGAGACTTTAGAATGAAATGACTCATCTTTATGACAACTACCCAAGTGTATATTCACGCATGCGTCTTTCTGTGCGGATTATGAGCTGGTTTCAACATCGCATGTCTTTCCCCAAGCGGCCTCTGCTCTGCTCAAAGGCCTGTGTTCTTCCACTGTCCCTGCACAGGACTCGGGCCCATAAAAGGCAAAATATTTTAGTGACAGAATCTGTTAGTCCTCTCACCAAAACTGTCTCTCTGCTTTCTGACAAGCCTAAGTGTACATTCAAGTAATTCATAAACTCCTGCAAACACCATTGAGCTGTTTTATTCTTACCAGAACTGGACACACGCCTGATCCTCTGGGGAGATAAGACTCGATCCGAATTGAGATTTCTACTATCGCTGTTCCGCCTCAAACAGGAAACAGAAGGCCCTACTTTGCCTTTCGGGCCAGGTGTTTTCCTCAAACTGCAGGAGTCAGGCTTGGATATACTCCTACCTGAGGTAGTGGAAGTTTTGGAAGCAGAACCCTGTGGAAACAGTTAAGATTTTAGTTCAGATCACACCTCTCGCAGACTGCGGCGTCAGCTCTGTGAAAGAAACCCTTTGGGTCTAAGTGGCTACGCCCATTAAGCTGCCTTGTCCTGGCAGGCCTTGTATCCCTCTGGGTACTCCCTCTCGGAGCCTTGCTCTCCGCCCTTAAATGCTAGCCTCCACATGGCCCTCCTTTCTGGCCCTACCACGAGCTCTCCCTATGGGGACTGTGTCTGCTCTTTCAACTGTCACCTAGACACGGTGCAGGCAAAGAGATGCAGGCTGTCCAGGCCGATGCTGTCCTGAGTCTCCCAGACCCCTCACTTCTCCCTGCCCCTCTTCATTCCGCACCCACCGGCATCGCTCCTTAGCAGTGACCCCACTCATTGCTACTGTTCTTTAGGGACATACTACTGCTCTGGCGCTATACAAAATATCATCCCAATTTCTAAATACATGTATCAACTCATTTAATCCTCGTAACAGCCTAGGAGGTAGATGTTTTTATCATTTCTCTCTCTCTCTCTCTCTCTCTCTCTCTCTCTCTCTCTCTTTTGTTTTTTTAATTATCCTCCCCGGGAAATAGTCACACTACAACCCCTTCTCCTCCACCTCTCGCTCCTTAGGGACTTAGGCCATGCACGCACATGCACCTGATGTTTTTGAAGTCAAGAGGCCTGGGACCTGAACCACACAGCTGGCCATGTGGAATCCGGCTCCCTTAGCCACCAGGCCATGGGCTGGCCCCATACCTCATTTTTAAGAAGAAAATTAAACTTACTGAGGGTCAGCAGGTGATGTGGAGGTTAAAGAGCTGGACTCCCACATGGCTGACCATGGTTTGCGTCCCTGACCTGGCAACTTGCTTGCTTTCTCGCTGTCTCTCTTTGGTGAGCACATATGCCCTGTGGCAAATATAATAATAATATAAATAATTCTTTTTTAAAAAAGGAAAATTAAACTTACTTTTCCATGCATCTCAAAACTCATCTTTTCCCATATTCACCACAATATAACCAGGCACCCAAGTCAGTAAAAGTCATTTCTGGGTGCTTTCCTATCTTACCTCCATAACCTCTCTTCCAACCCCGCTCAGCAATGTCAGCATTCTCCTCACCAGGACTAAGGAAATCATGTCCTTAGGATCTTTCTGGTCTCACAGGCTTCTAATTCATCCTCCGCTCCCCTGCTTGGGCAATCTCTCCGAAATTCAAACGAGGTTCGACAGCTTCCCCCTGCCTCCCTGAGAAGGTCAACTCTTCTTATTGGGCTCCTCGAGCCCTGTTGGACATGGCAGCCCCTGCGGCCCTCCTCACTTCTTGCTTAATGTCAGGGTTCTGTGCTCCAGCTCCTGGTGGAACCAGTCCCTGGAGCTCCCTGAGACGGTATCCCCCCGATCCTCATCTTTGCACCTGCTTTTGCCTCTACCCAGAATACCTGCCCTTCTGGTTTGGGCTAGTGACTAACGTGACGTCTCCCCAAGAAGCCATCTTTGCACCCTCCCATGGCCACCATCCTGTTCCCCTCCTATGCCAGCATTGCCTGCATCTTCCCCATGGCCACCATCCTGCTCCCCTCCTATGCCTGCACTGCCAACTGGGTTTCGAGCACACTCTGTGGTTTACTGCTGCCCGTTGCACCCGCCAGCACACCTGCCCACCGGCTGTCTTTCCTTTCTACATACTAACAGCCGGCACAGTAATACAGCACATAGTAGGCCCCCAATCAACGCTCCCATTGTACATGCGGTCTTCCTCAAATTACCCCCCAAAGCCCAGGTACGACAGTACTGCCCCTGTGCATAAAGAAAACTCGAGCCTCACGGAGCCTAAGAAGCTTGACCCAGGTTCCTTTCCACCGAACACTGGAGGGACAAATTGAAACTACTCCAAAATCCATTTTCATGACCTCGATGCTGCACACTCCCCTACACCCTTTCCTCTTTTGTCAATAAGTCATCAATGACCATTTCCAATAGAGATACCTGAAGCCCTGCCTCCACGGTAGTTGTATTCACACCCGAGGGGATTTCAACACTAACTAAATAGACCAGTCTCCCAAGGAAACAGCTGAAGGTCATGTTTTGGGCAGAACAACATAGAAGGCGGAGCAAAGCAGCTGATCAGTAGGACACAAACTAACAGATCTTTTCTTTCCTTAAGTGGCAACATTAACCTTCCAGAGAAAACCATTTAAATAGTAAAGCAGAAAGGTGCATCTTCAACAAATGGCGTCTTTTGCTTTTCAGAGTTAACACGTTATAAAATTCTGAAACTATAATGTACAGGCAGGGGAAAGGGGTTGGGACCTTCAAGTTCATGGGGAAAGGTGCACTATGAAAAAAAACCTCTGCATGGATGTTACCTTTTTACACCAAAATAAACTTGCATTAACTTTCTGAAGTCCTCTTGTATATAGCGAAAGGGCCAGAATGCGGGTCAGGGACCTGAGCTTGAACTGCAGTTTTACTACTTGCCAGTTGTGTTTATTATTATTATTATTATTAATTTGCTTTAGGGACGTACACTTAGTGGGGAGAAGGGAGAAAGGGAGAAAGCATCCCCCAGGGGCATGGCCATGTCAGTCCCACCACCACCGTCCTCTTGGGATTTGGGGCATGCACAAGTGCCTGGCAAGCCTCTCAAGACTCCAGGTCCAGATTCGAACCATGTTATCGGCCATGTAGGATCCAGCCATCTTAACCACGATGCCATCAGCTAGCCCCAGCTTTGTGAGTCCTAAGTAACCTTCCTGAGACACTGAAACCATAGGCAACAAGGGCCAGTCCCACAGCCTGAAGGGGCTTGGCTGCATGACCGACAGCTTAAAACCATGCTAGGCACATTTGTGCGCATTGCACATGCCCCAAATCCTGACGGAACGGGGAGATGGAGAAGGGACTGTGGCATGGCCCTTCCCCTCGGTGCGGTGCTCTCTCCCCCTCCCTGGCACACTCCCTCTACCGATTAAAAAAAAAATATATATATATACATATATATATAGATAGAGAGAGAGAGAGAGAGAGAGAATCATGGCTCCATTGTTACTGGAAAGAGTAAATGACAACATGTTTAGATACTTGCCCACTCCCTTTACCTAACGTGATCACAAATACACAACCTCCATCATGGGTAGCTAGCTACTTTACACCCTATATCAAATTAAAGTCAAATCCCTTCTTCTAAGTAAGCACATTTCTAAAATTTCAGGTCAACCTTGATCACGGAGCAGCTATGAAGCCGCAGACAGCCTACGGAACCCGAGGCCTAACTTGGCCGAAGACCAGCGGAGCACGCTCAACATGAGATCTCTCTAGGGCCACGGAGCCGGGGCAGCAGAGCCTTCGGGTCCTGCAGGCTCAGCGGGTGGGCATCGGGGTTGGAGCAGACTGTGCAGCAGACGTCCCTCCTCTCCGCTGGCTACTGTAAGCGGGCCTGTGGGCTGCGACGACCCACTCAGGCTCTCTTCGCCCACTGTCCCCCACACAGGGGGAAAGGTGAGAGAGGGCGCTGTGCTGACGACGGGACTGTGGGAAGCATGGATTCTTGCCAGCTGCTGTGGCGCCGGGGTAAGGCAAGCGCCCGCTGATCCGGATGTGACTATGGACAGCCACAGGTCCGAGTCTCAGGTTGGGCTGAAATCGTACCAGGGCACACACGGGCTCCCCCAATCCCGAGAGGCAGCGTGATGAGACCTGTCAAGGGCGCCTCACTCTCCTTTTCCTCCCTCTTGTGGACTCATAGGAGTCAATGGGGGCATGGGGAGTTCTTTACCCCAGCTGGTAAGTCCAAGGGGCCAAGACTTTAGGACAGCACTTCAGGACTTCTGAAGTGTTTTGTATCTAATTATAAAACCTAACCGTGGGACTCCGAGGTGAAAACTTGATTTTTTAAGCATGCACCGGGGGCTGCTTCAACCTGATGACTGTCTTATCTTACTTCGCTATCACATTATTAGCTTGAAAAAAGGCCATCGTTCTGCACGTAAGAAATATAAGCCTAAGACTAAAAGCTCACATTGGAAAACCTTTGGTTTCAGAATTAGACAACTAATTAATACTTAAGATAAAGTTTTAAAACTTTATACTACTCCAGTGTCTAAGACTCTGGAGCTTGTGGGGTGTCATATAATAAAAATCTCCCATAAATCAAAGAGAAATATATATTTTTTTTAATTTGCCAGAGAGCACATGAGCAGAGAGAAAAAGCGAGAGAGCACCCACCCCAGGGAGGATGGCCAAGCCAGTGCTGTCTTCCATCGCTCCCTCTCCTGGGATTTTGGGCACATATGCCTCAGGTGTTTTTCAACCTCCAGATCTGGGACTCGAACCACTCTGTTGGCCACATGGGATCCAGTCACTTTAACGAACATGCCACTGGCTGGCCCTAAATGTCTTATCTCTAGGTATATCTATAAACACTAAGAATATTGATTACAATTAAGGGGTTATTGCAATTTAATTGAGCAAAATATTAAAATGATACATGATCCAAAATGAGTTTCCTAAGCTTGACTTCCAGGAAACAAAGTCTGACTCCTTCTACCATCCGGGAGTGTGTGGAAGCCTCCTGCATGTAGAACCTGTGGAAGGCCAACCCGTGCGACCAGTTGGTGGCGTAGTGGTTGTCCAGGTGCTGGACTCCCGCGTGGCCAACCACTGAGTCTCAGACCTGTCAGCTTGAAGATCATGTTGGGTGTGTGTGCAAACATGTCTAAGATCCCAAGAAGAGAAGGGACTGTGGTGTGGCCATCAACCCCTGGGGGGTGAGTTATCACTTTCTCTCTGGTGAGCATAGGTACCATACAGCAAAAACTTTTTAAAAAGGGAGGGGGCAAACATGTGGGAGGCTGTGATCCAAGCCATTTATTTACTTATTTACTTACTTACTTACTTTTAGGGAGAGGTTTTTGCTATCAGGGCTTATGTGCTCACCAGACAGACAGAGAGATAGAAAGCAAGAAATCACTCCCCAGGGGCATGGCCATGCCACAATCCCTTCTCCTCCATTCTCCTCTTGAAATTGCGAGCACACACGCACACGCATCCAGTATGAGTTTTAAGCCAGTGTCTAAAACTCAAACCACAATCGACTTACATGGAGTCCAGCAACGGACCCGTTATGCCATCTGCTGGTTCCCAAGGCCACTTTTTAATTTTTAACTTAAACACAGTCTTGCTTGGGTCGGCCCCGTTGCTTAGTGGTGGAGGCGGCTGGATCCCACACGCTGACTGCTCAGTTCAAGCTCTGGACCAGCTGCTGGAGGAACAACAGGCACAGGTGTGTGTGTGCCCAAATCCTGACGTGGCTGTGGCTGGGGCGGAGGAGAGGGGACTGCAGTGTGATGACCCCCTGAGGGGGCACCCCCCTCCCTCTCACATAACAGCAGCAACGACAGAGAAGACGGGGCCGTGCCGTGCCACAATCCTGCCTGTCTCCGTACCGCCAGGACGGGTCAATGGGCACACTCACTACCCCGGCTGTCAGCATGGTGCTCACCAGGGCTGGGCCCCAAGGCCATCACTTCTGGCTATGCACAAGGTGTCCAGAACCATGGGTGCACAGAGCTCCGAGACTGAAGGTGTGCGTGCCCCCAACGAAGCGCCATTCCATTTTGGCAAGAGATGTGCTAACACGTACGAGCCACAGAACAGTGACTCTGGCAGCGAACCACACGGACAGCACAGGGTGAGGTAAGGCGATTTGTGCCCAGAGACAGCGGCACGGCACGCACCAAACTCCACAGCAACCTTCCTGCTAAGGCCACTGGACACGGAATCCACATGATGCTGTCTCTCCTCCCAGGATTTAAACTAGTGAAAAATAAATTTAAAAAGTGAATTTGGGGGCCAGCTGGTGGCACGGTGAAGGCAGACGAATCCTCCATGGCCGGCTGTGGGGTTCAAGTCGGCCGGCACGTGTGCACACATACCCAAAATCCCGAGAGAGAATGGAGAAAGCTGCAGCGAGGCCATCTCCCCTGAGGGAGATATCTCAGTCCTCCATCCCGTCTCTCTCTGGCTAGTGCATGTGCCCTATAGCAAAAAACAATGCAAAAAATGGTGTATTCATACTCTCGTAATCTTGTTAAATGACTTAAAAACTTACTGCCGTAAATGGAGTTGCTATATCCTTTAAAACGTGGAGGACACTGAACATTTTCTGAGTACAAGGACGTCAGAGAGCTACATGGAATAGCGATTACAGCTTACGAAAACATGGGGGTCTGGGCCAGCAGGTGGTATGGTGGTTAAGGCACTGGACTCGCACATGGCTGACCATGGTTCGAGACCTAGACCTGGTGGCTTCCTATCTCACTTTCCTTCTCTCTGTCTCCCTCTGGTAAGCGTATGTGCCCTATGACAAATTAAAAAATAGTAATAGAAACAGTAGCAAACAAAACTAAATAATTCTTTTTTAAAAAACACATAAGAGTTTTAAAGTGAGTATCTTAATACAGGGCCTTATCGTGGGAGCTATGTAAGCTTTGGAGACAGTGGGACACTGACCATCCTCCTCATTACACTGAAAACAAATGAAAAACGCTTAACGGGGTCTCTTGGAGCACCTCGTGACAGTATGCGCACATTCAAACTGCGGTACGTTGGTCGGGAAGCCTAGGAGTGAAAATGGGAACCGGAAATCACTTGAATGGAGGTGATACTGACGGTATCTGGCGGCCCACTGGAGCTACCAGGATGAGACGCCCTAGGATTTGGGACTGGAGAAAGCATTCCAGGAGGTCTCCCTGACTGGGAGTAATGTGTAAGTAATACCTCAGAGAACAATGCCACGTGATCCCACCTCAGGAACGCCACCCGGGGCCACGAGGGCCAGGAGCAGTGCCGTGGTGGGTGGCTCTCCCTCACGTCATGTAGATCTAGTGAAGGTATCTTATCATATTGCAAAGGAATGTAAGCAGGGCTCCAGAATATCTCAATCTCTTGAGGATGTGCTGAAACAAAAACTAGAGCTATAGCAAAAAAGAAAAAAAAAATCAGAATTAATGGACGGTCATTAGTTTAGTACGTGGTGTGGTATATATTCTTCCAAACAAAAACCGAAACACCTCCACACTGACCCAGCTCAAGAGTATCAGGCCAGGACCAGCCAGTGGTGTGGTGGTGAAGGCAGCTGGATCCCATATGGTCATCTGTGAGTTCAAGTCCCAGACCTGCACGTGTGTGTGCACATGCCCAAATCCCGAGAAGTGAATGGAGAAGGGATTGGCAAGGCTATCTCCTCTGGGGGTCATTTCTCACTTTCTTTCTCTGTGTGTGTGTGTGTGTGTGTGTGTGTGTGTGTGTATACATGTATGCACGTGCCCAGCAACCACAGGAGCCCTATGGCAAAAGTTAAGAATATATATATAAAGAATATTGAGCCAGCCAGTGGCGTGGTGGTTAAGGTGGCTGATTCCCAAGTGGCTGGCTGTGAAGTTCAAGTCTCAGATCCAGCGACTTAAGAAGCACACTGAGTGGTGTGTGCCCAAAATCCCAAAAGAAGGAAAGGAAGAGACAGGAGACACCCTCCAATGGAGGGTGCTTTCTCACTGTCTATCTCTCCCACTCCCTCACCAGCAAACATACATACTCCAGCAAGACAAGTTTTATAAACACTATAAAAAAAAACAACAAAGGGACCAGCAGTTAGCGTAACGGCTATGTTGCTGGACACCCATGTAGTCGACCGCGGTTCAAGTCCCGGACCCGGTTGCTTAAGCTCATGCCAGGCACATGTGCGTGCGTGCCCAAGATCCCGAGAGGAGAATGGAGAAGAAGGGATTGCGGCATGCCCATCCCCCCTGGGGGGTGATTTCTCTCTTTCTGTCTCTCTGTCTCTCTCTCTCTGTGTCTGGCAAGTGCACGTGCCCTATAACAAAAACCTCTCCAAAAAAAATAAAATAAAATAAAATCAGTCTCCCCTAAAGAATCCCCAAGAAGCTGCAGTTCCCCTCTGTGTAGTCCCCATGCAGCCTGAGGTCATTCTGGACCCGCTCCTCAGCGCTTGGCCACAGTGTATTTTATTTCTGCCAACATGAACCCTGCATGGACAGGCGTGGGGGTCACATCTGCCTCTCTCCCTGGCACCTAGCTCCACCCCTGGCCCAGAAGACAGGCACCCAAGGACAGGGCGTGTGGGGCTGAAAATACACGGAGGTCCCACTGCCAAAAACAGGGCCGAGGACAAGTGTGTGACACCCGTGACAGCCTGCAGGACGTCTCTCAAACTCCGAAAACTCACGGCTTCATACTGTTGCAAAACCCATCTTTGAACTGCATATGCATTCTTACCTCGTAAAGGGGGAAACCTACGCCCTCCATGTGACAGGTGTTAGGGAAACACACTGCCTTTTCACTAGACGCACACACACACATTTTGTTTAAGTACCAAGAATCAATACACGAGGGCTCTGAGACTTCGGTCATTCACTAGTCCAATCCTTTCACCTTTGGGTCTTCAAATTTACCTGCCCAAAGTCACCTTAGCTGCTCAGAGGCAGAATCCAGAACACGCAAGTTCGAGAGAGCTCTGCTTCCCAGAGCTGCTTCGGCAAGAGCCCAGGGTTATTTTTAAGCTGACGTGTTTACCCACGCTGCCTGGCCATTTCTTCAGTCTGATCCAAGGCATTTTAAAGTGTATAAACAAACACGTTCACCTCCAGAAACATAAAATATGATTTGATTATATAAGGTATTTAGCCTCAAGTAACTATACTAAAATATTAAGATACCCTTTTCTTTTAGCGTATCATGAAAAGGAACATGGGTACTGAAATTGGGGCATGTTTTGATACACATATTGGTTCTCCTGAGCCCTACTGACACTCTACTGTGTCCTGACAAACGAAGACTCAACACCCGAAACAACCTGCAGGCCTAGTTCTGCAACACCATTGACTAGCAGGAGACAGCTCCTCGCTACAACATTCCAGTGTTTCCACTCCCTGAAGCACGCAAACAATCTTCACTTACCAAAAACAGAGACCCGTATTCAAAAGTCTCATTCATAATTTCCTTTTTTGGCTCCTGTTTTTCCACAGGTGCTCCATTTTCTTCTTCATCCTTTTCAGGGCTAATCCTTTCGATGTGGGGAACATACGTCACTTCCAAACACTCGGCGCTTTCCATCTTAACGGGGAGGACGCCTTTGATCTGAACAAGCGCAGCTACAGACCCGGCCTCGCAGGCCGAATTAGCAGAACCTGCCTGGTCAACATCCTCCCGATTCGATTTCATGGCAGCCGTTGCTCTTGGCGCCCGGTGCGGAGCATTTTTAGAATGAGTTGTGACATGCACAGCCTGGCTGGTAATGAGTTTATTCAACTGCTGCTTGTGCGTCTTGTTCATGAGGACTTCGGCTTTCGTGTCTGCGTTCAGGTCGGATCTCAGTGTTTTGCTCAACACTGTCAACTGTCTGGAGGGGAACCCCGGGGAGGGGGAAGAGGGGCCGGTCAGCTGAGGTTTGGGTGGGACCCTCGATGACGCGGGGTCTTTGGATGGCAACCCTGGCCGAGACATGACTTTAGCTTTGACGTTCTTAAAGTTTGGTCTTGGATAACTTATAATTTCGGTTTTCCTAACTTTGCTGCCTACAGAGGTATTCGCTTTGGTGCTCGATTTTCCTAGGCTGGGTTTAGACGTACTCGCAGGTGTCCCCTTGGGGTTCGGTAAACTGTTAAGCTCTCGAGGGCTCTTTCCCACTTTCTGACATCTCTCTGTCCTTCGGATGGGTGAGACAGAAAAGCTGGCACTCGTGGGCTCCAGGACTGGGGTGGACACTAGGACCGTGTTCTCTGCACTAGTGAGCATGTCGTTTGTGTCCCACGTCAGTTCCAACGGTGAAACCACCATCTGTCCCGGCGGGCTGCTTACTATCAACTCTATGGTACGGTCTTGGATTCCTGAATCCTTGTCGGTAGAGGCGACCGGAGTGTCTTCAGTCACAGTGACATTACGCTCTGAGTTCAGCCCTTGGGCTTTACTTTTATCAAAAGCTGGCACCAGAAATGGGCATTCATCATCAAAAAGACAATTAGGCCCTGTTTCTCTTCGATTTTGGCCCGTTTCCTTCCTCCCATATGCGCTCTGTGAATGTGTCTTACTATTCGGCTCATCTTTAGATAAACAAAAGGACTCTTGTAACGCAGACCCCCTGGGGACTTCCACGCCATCAGAACCTGGTGTGAGAGCTGGTGTCTCTTTTTTTCCAACAAGTCTGTGCTGTGACCCATCTGTGTATTCGCTGGTGACCTTCCCTGAAGAACGCGGACACTGATCTCCAGTATCTGGAACAACCACCTCGGTTTGCATGACCACATCGGAAAACGCAGTGTCACTCGTCTCTGGGCCCTCTGATGGCGTGGCTTGAGCAGCCCCAAATCCCCCTCTGTCATAGCTAGTTTCTCTTAAATACGTCTTGTCAGAGTGAGAAGATGCCCAGTTAGAATGGGATAAAGATGCATTTCCCCTTCGCAGACTGGGTGGCTGCAGACTCTCGGTGGGAGACCAAGACTGACTCTCGTCCACGGCCTGATGGGTTGTGAAGGTGCAGTTAGCATCCACTTTCATGTCAAATGTCTGGTTTAGCTCCAAGGCCGGAGGGTGGTCCGGACAGTTGAAATGGTCATTAGACTTCCACGGGCAGGACAGAGGAAGCTCAACGCTCTGGTCCCGGTCTGCTCCCAGGGAAGGACAGCTGCCCTGGAGGTACACAGGCTCCTCTGCATGAACGAGCCCCGGAGATGGACTTGTGGGATCCCCATGCATACCTAACGCCTGCTCACTCACAAAACCACCTGAAGACTTCCGGTGACTGAGTACTCCAACATGCTGATGGTTTAAGGAAATATTCTCACCAGGCTCGGCAGCAGGTTCCGTTTCCAAATCGACCACCATGGCGTCTGGGCTGGCAGAATTCCAATCCCCGTAAGCGGTTGAAGAGTTCGGTATAGCTGGTGATTTTTGGTTGTATGCATATATATTTCCATTTTTATCTCTTATAAATAAGGATTGCAGTTCGTCTTCTTTCTTGTCATCTGAAGTATCATCATTCATCCTGAATGTTAACTTTAAACCTCTGCCATTTTATTTCTTCAGTTCCTTTCAAATGAGAGGAAAGGGGAAAAAAACAATCTTCTGTCTCCTAAGTGTTTCAGCACAGTGGAAAGTTTTCCAGTCTAAGATGCTTTTGAGTTGAAACGATCTGTTGTTCTCTGGAAGAAATAAAATGTATAACTCGGGTAAATATTATAAAAATGAATAGACTTCCCTTGATTTACTTTAATCGCTTCATTTTCACATTAAGAACCCACAGCTATTACTTTGGGTAATTAAGATATTAGCTAACCTACAACCCCCTTGGAAAACCATGTTCTTTTTATTTGAGGGAATGGGGCCGATGGAGGACGCAGACACTGCTGGGTTGTCTCTGTGGCTGACTTCACAACTGGTAGGTCTCCTCCCTACCCCCGGGGCCTCTTACTTGTCCTAAGAGAGAAGTAAGTTACTTGTTTAATTAAAGGAAGTTAAATCTGGCAAGATTTTCCTTCTTATTGGTTGACAGAGCGGCCATTCATCCTGGTTTGCCTAAAATGATCCCACTGTGTGTCTGCTGTCCAGCATAACTAGTACCCGTGTCCCTTTCATTCTCAGAAGGGCGTCCCTGTTGTTTCCAGGAGTCACGACCAGACAGACCAAGCGGGCCCAGCAAATACGCTGAGATCAATGAAGAGTTAGGGAATTAGCATTTCTCCTCCCGTTTTCATCCTTGTCTTACACAGACGCCACTTCCAAAATAAAGGAGGAAAAGTTTATCCTTAAAAATGAAAGTGGTTCTGGGACCAGCAGTCAGCACAATGGCTATATTGCTAGACTCCCATGAAGTCGACCGAAGTTCGAGTCCCAGACCCAGTGGCTTAAACTCACGCCGGGCGTGCGTGTGCATGCCCAATATCCGGAGAGAAGAATGCAGGAGAAGGGATTGTGGTATGGCCATCCCCCCTGAGGGGTGATTTCTCGCTTTCTGTCTCTCTGTCTCTCTCTGCCTTTCTGGTGAGCACACGCGCCCTATAGCAAAAACCTCTCCCAAAAAGAAAGTGGTTCTGTTAGCTGGTCGTCCAAGTGGAAAGCATCGAGCATTATCACAATGTTACAGGGAGAACTACACCACGGACTGAATCATGTCCCTCCAAAACCCCAGTGACTCTACTGGAGATGGGGCCTTTAAGGAGGTGATGACAGTTAAGTGAAGCAGAGGCGGAGTACGGATCCGACAGAACCATTCTCTCACAAGAAGAGACCACACAGACCCGTCCTATCATGGTGGGGCACAGTGAGAAGTAGTTATCAGCAAGGCAGGAAGAGAGCGCTCTCCAAAAACTGCACCTGACAGAACCTTGGTCTTAGACTCCCCAGCCTCCAGAACAGAAAACACATTCGTGTAGTTTAAGTCGCCCAGTCTATGAGACTTTGCTACGGTAGCCTGAACCAAGAAGCCATAAGACCTAGTCATTCTACTTCTAAATTTCTATTAAAGAGATATAAAAACACATGTCCACACAAAAATGTGTACGTAAACGTACCAGGAGTCTTGGTACATTCATAATAGCCAAAAAGCCGAAATAATCAATTAGTGCATACATAACAAAATGTAATATACGCACAGAATATCCTTCTGCAATAGAAAGGAATATTAGATTGATAAATGGTACAACACAGGAAAGTCTTACAACTTGAAAAATATTGTATTAAGTGGAAGAAGCCAGTCACAAGAAATCTACAGGTCATGATACGATTTACATGAATTGTCCAGACAAGGCAAATCTATAAAGATGGAAAACAGACTAGAGCTTCTCTAGGGTGGGAAAGGCTCTGGGGGTGGGGGGGGATGACAAATGGCTGCTAACTGAAGGAAAGTTCCTTTTTTTTTAAAAAAATAATTATTTATTTTATTTTATTCATTTGTTTATTTATTTATTTTTTAGTTTGACCAGAGAGAGACAGAGGGTGAGAATGAGAGAAAGAGGGAGTGAGAAAGCAAGTCACCAGATTCAGGACTCGAACCCTGGTTGGCCATGTGGGAGTGTCCAGCACCTTAACCACCACGCCACCTGCTGGTCCCAAGAATGTTTCTTTTAGAGATGATTAAAATGTTCTAAAATTACATTATGGTGATGGTTGAAAAATGGTCAAAATATTCTGAAAACTACGAATTATACACTTTAAGAAAACCTTTCGAACCCCCATAAAAGGTATTAAATCTAGAGATTTTTGCAAATAACTACTGAGTCATTGAAAAAATCGTGACTTTTTAATGTTTTTCTATGCAAAAATGCATCATGACTTTTCTGGTGACCTCCTAAAATCTCTTTACAGTGTTTGTCAAATAGCAGTGCTTAAGAAAGGCCCAAATGCCCGAGCTGGGCCACAGAGCAGTCACACAGACACGCATTCGGCAGCACGCACCTTCTAATCTTAGTCCACGTCCACCAGATGTCACAGTCCTGTTCTGAAGAAGTACAGTAGCCACCGGGGGGAGTGACACTGTGGGTGACCTACAAATTTCTGAATTCAGAGTGGGTCTCACTTTCCTATTCTGCAGCCTTCTCTCTGTATTCAAACTTGAGTGACCTGAACAAAACTCAGCGTAGGATGCAGGGGAGGGCGGCAGGGATCCGTGTCTGCACCGACAGCTCTGTGTTTCTGGCTGTGCCCACAAAGCAGCCTTTACGGGGCAAGGAAAGACAGCAGTGGTCATCTCGGTTGCCTGCACTTGGTGAGCACGCCCACGCACACGCACACGCGGCTCAGCCCTAAAGTCGGGCAGCGTCAGGTACACACTGACGGAAAGTGCAAATCAGCCAACTCTTTAGCCATACCGCTCTACAGTTAGAAGGAATCAGTTCAGAAATTGTTTATGGGGAACCAGCAGATGGCACAATGGTTACCTCTCTGGACTTCCACATAATCAACCACAGTTCAAGTCCCAGACCCAGCGCTTAAAACTCATGCGGGACACATGTGCGTGCGTGCCCAAAATCCCAAGAGGAGAATGGAGGAGAGGGGATTGTGGTGTGGCCATCCCCTGGAAGGTGATTTCTCACTTTCTGTCTCTCTCATGAGAGGGCATGCACCCTATAGCAAAAACAAAACAAAACAAAACAAAATTCTCTAAAAAAAAAAGAGAGAGAGAAAAGAAATAGTTCATTGGCCATAATTTCAATAAAAGTATCTATGAAATATAAATTAACATTTTTAATCCTCTGATATAAGATACGTTCCAGCATAAGGGTTATACGGCTGGACTCCCACGTAGTTGACCGCAGTCTGAGCCCCAGATCTGGCAGCTTAAAACTCAAGCCAGGCATGCAAGCATGTGTGACCAAAATCCCAAAAGGTAACTAGAGGAGAAGGGATTGTGGTGTGGCCATCCCCCTGGGGGGTGATTTCGTGCTTTCTCTCTTTGTCTCTGTCTCTGTCTCTCCAGTGAGTGCATGTGCCCTATAGCAAGACTCTCTTAAAAAAAAAAAAAAAGTATGTCCAAGCTAAATGGTTAAATCAAGGAGTACATGTATTCATTTTTAGACCCACATATAGAGTATAATTTCCAAGAGCAGTAAACATGTCCACCTCCCTGCACCCATGAAGGTGTGTATCCAGTCAAGAGACTCCGGTGTGAGCATGTCTGAGCTAAGCGCACCGCACACATGCCCACTTAGCGTAATCGCACGTTATCTGTCTTCATTAACAGTCATTTGCTTCCACTAGCAGACCTGTTATTACCTAAGCCCCTTCTTCCAAAGTACACAAGAAATAAATACAATCAAATAAACCTCGGGCTGGCCAGCACAAGCAGGAGGGTGCCCCTGCATGGCAGCTGAGGTCTTGAGACCCACCTAAGCAGGCTGGGGAAGGTGGCCAGTACCCCAGGTCCTAGTCATTATTTCATGACTACTTATAGCGTAATTTTACTCCCCACTTAGGTCATTAAATGGCATGCCGTTTAAAGTGTGAATGCACATAGTTATGATAGATCCAAACCCTCTAATCCCTGCAGTCTCCTCTTAAGTTTTTATGAACTCACACATACAGTAGCAGTGACTCTCTAGGCTCCAAAACCCAAAATGGTCCTGGTCTTCAACTTGCTTTAAATTAAAAAAGAAAAAAAGACATGAGCAGGAACTCAGCTACAAATGACATTTTACTCTACAGTAACAAGGAGAGCAGTGAAGCTGGTGCGACTACACAGGCCTTGCTGCGTGGGGAGACCTGTCGGAGACGCCTCCTACTCTCCTTTCCTCTCGCCCTCCCTTCTCAGAAGAAATAAGTCAACGAACTTTAAAAAGAAAAGGGTAGTTGAACGACAAGAAAAAGCCAAGCCACCAGGCTGGCCCCACGGCACAGCAGTAAAGAGCTGCGTGAGAGAAGCTGGATCCCACGGGGCAGGGCAGCTGGACGCACAGGCGTGTGCCGGAGCGCCAGGGTCCGAGGGGTAGAGGGCCGGAGGGAGGGGTCACAGCCTGACCACATCCCGTGGAGGGTGCTCCCCCATCTCTCACTCTCAGAGAGACCTCTCTCAGTATGCACACGTTTTATAATGAATACAAAATAGTTAAAAAAAAAAAAATCATCATCACGGGACCAGCAGATAGCCTAATGGGTACGTTGCTGGACCCCCAGTCTACTGTGGTTCAAGTCTTACACCCGGCAGTTTAAAAATCACGCTGAGTGCACGCGTGCGAACCCAAGATCCCGAGAGGAGAATGGAGGAGAAGGGACTGCGTCGCAGCCATCTCCTCAGTGGGAGATTTCTCACTTTCTGTCTGTCTCTGTCTCTCTCCTCTCTCTGTCTTTCCAGTGAGCACACAAACCCTGTAACATAAACCTCTCTTTAAAAAAAAATCAGCAGCACATGTTATTAAAATAGATATACTAGAGCCGGCAGGTGGCATGGTGGGTAAGGGAGCTGGACTCTCATATGGCCAACTGCGGTTCAAATCCCACACCTGGTGGCTTGTTTTCTCACTTTCTTCCCTCTCTCCCTCTCTCGCTCTCTCGCTCTATCCCTCTCTGGTCAAATTGTCAAATTAAAATAAATAAATATATAAATAAATAAAATGAAGTAAAAGTAATTCTCTTAATAAAAGGCATACTCATAAATCTCTACTTTCTGTTTGAGCCACCTGTATGTAGAGATGACAGCATATGACTACAG